AGCCGCCCGGCGGTTTATAGCCGCCAGTCTGCCCGCCGCGCGGGGCTTTTCCGTGACGTCAGCGCGGGGGGGGGGCTCTGCAGCAAACCCCGAGTTGCAGCGGCTCCGCTCAATCCGTTACTCGAAGTCATGTGACCCCTCTCCCCTTTTGAAAAATAACGACAGTCCCCCTACACACACACACACACACACCCGCTGCTATATTTTGTTTTATTTCACCTGCTGGACGCGGGAAGATGGGAAAATACACTAAGTGCCGCTTCGTGGAGCTCCTAGAAGGGGCCGCAAAAAGAGCGCTCGCAAACTGTCCTGACGGGATGGAGCACTAGGCAGGTTTGAGTTGAGAGCCCAGCTTTGCCAAAAAAAAAACAAAAACACACCGAAAAACACAGAAACAAAAAAACGGGGGTCCCCCAGGCGCGGAGACCTGAGCTTCTCGCAGGGGTGCAGCCAAGGCTCGTGCCGGCCGGACCTTCCGCGCGGACCCCGGCCTGTGCGCGGCCCTGTCCCCTTCTCGGCCGACAGGGCAGGACGGGAAGCCCCGAACTAGTTTGTTTCCCTTCTCTGACAGGGGCCCAGAAAGAAGGGACCAGGGAGAGGCGAGGAAAGGGGACGAGACCTGGAAAGGAGCAGTTCTGAAAGATAACTGAATTAGGCTCCACCAGCCTGTGCTAATGTCCGCCCTCCTGCTCCAGGTCAGGATGCTGAGGCTCCTCGAGCAGGGAATTTAATCAGCGTCGGAACCAGCAAGGTCTCTGTGCCAGGAGTCTGGGCCTGGGCTTGGAGCCAGTCAGCGCCTCCCAGCCGTGGGGAGAGCGCTGGGCCCGTCCCTGGGGCCCACTGCCCCCCACCCCCGCGCCCCAGAGACTCCTGTGCCTAAAGGGCACAAGATAATAATAATAATAATAATAACAACAACTGTAACTGCCTTTTTCTAAGTACCTCTGAGTGCTTGTAATCAGTAGGTACGGTTAGGCCTTGGCGGCACCTCAGTCCTATGGGGGGGACACATTGCCACCCCATTCTAGGTAGGAGAAAATGACCTTCAGCCAGAGCACCCGCCCAGGGTCACACAGCCCATGTAAGTGGCAGAGTCAGGATTTAACACCTAGTTTGCCCGACTCTGCACTGTGCCGCCAGCTGAAGGGTTTGAGTGACCCCTTTCTGGGGACATGGGCATCTCCCAGATGCTGTTTGGAGAGAGGACAGTGGCCTTTCCAACACTTCCATTCTCTTTTCCAGACGGCTTCGTCTCTGTTGGCTGGTGGCTGCAGGAAGCAGCCAGAGGCGCCCGCATCTATCTGAGTAGCCAGAGTCAATTCATTGTCCTGCAGACAATTACCTGCTTTGGGGTTTATCCAAGCCTCAGCTGCCGAGGCCTGCCAGGCCCAAAGGTGGAATCCACAGACCTCAGAGCTCCTTTAGTTCCAGCTGCCCCGACCCAAGCCTCCTGCGTATTTTATACGCGAGGAAGCTGAGACCCGGAGGGATGTCTAGCCCTGAGTTGTAGATGGCAGAGCCGGAACTGGATCGTGGGTATCATAATTTCCTGGGTGGTGCCCTTCACTTCGATCAATTTTTCTTCTGGGCTTAGCCAGGAAGAAATAACAACCTATGTGGGGAAAGAAAAGGGGGACAACGGGGTTGAGGAGAGAGAAAGACCAACAAGGGGTGCATTGCTGACTCCACGCTAGAACGCAAGGAAAGTAACCTGTGGATCACCTGCATTTCAGAATTCCCCGTGCTCTTTCCACACCGAGCCGCCTGCTTTGCCGACTGGTCTCAAAAGAAACATCATGTGGGTAAAAATTAAGAATAAATCAGAATTCTTAAGCATATCACATAACCTCTCAATTCCACTTTTGCCCATTGATAAGACCCAAATTCTACACATAGGCAACACTCACTATGAGCTATTTTTCCTTGGTTTGTGCGAGGGCAGGAGGGGAGGGGAGGTGGGGAAGGAAGAGGCAAATCTCTGACCAGGGCTGTGGGGTAGGGCATCAGGGACTCACAGCCATTCACATAACATCCCTTTGAATCTCACCCCTTGGAAACTCTAGGCCCGGGGTCTGCACACCTGTAACACCGTCCTATGAGCCCTGGCACCACTCACCCAGTCTTCAGCGTGCCACACTGCCTCATGGACACCGGGGACTCACACAGCCCCGGCCAAACCTGACCAGGCTACTCAGCGGTAGAGTGAGCCATTCACATGTGCCCCTCTCCCACCAACAAAGACTGAAACGTTTTGCGTTTTGAGGCCTTTAGGCGAGGCAAGCTCTCCAGCTCCCCACACCCTGGCCACTCCCCAAAGCTTGCTGCCCCTCAGCTTCTCTCCTTTAGATGATCTACCTGGCCCCAAGGGCATTTGGCTTTGTGACCCCCGCAAGAGCTGAAAAACAATGTTGGGGATTTAGCACCAGAAAAGCAAGTTCAAACCCTAGGCCTTCCCTCGTCCTAGCAACCGGATGCTGGAGGACGTCACCAAACCCCAAGGACCATGCCTCCTGTCGTCCTGAGGACTAAAGAGCCCCCC